GGGGAAAAGCTTTTCGAAATTTGTTTTTCTTTTCTAAATTCTTCATTTATCTGTGAAGAAAAAAATCTTTGCAGATCTGGTTCCCTCGGGCTCGTACGCGGTAAGGACATCGCCGCTCGACCCGGACCTACTCCAAGACGTCTCGTCGCCGAGCGTGTTCCTCGAGGCGGCCGCCAATCACGTAACACGTTCCCCGCATTTGCTGGGTGTCGGTAAAGCGGTGCTCGAGCTCGCCCAATTGTTGCAAGATATTCGTAAGCGGAACTGTCCACGGGCGACGGCCGCGTTGTGCGCGATGCAACGCTTCAACCCGGCCTCGAGGCAGGAAATGAGGAACGCAGACGTGTACACCACGCTACGAATAAATGCGAGATCGCACTCGATCAGGTATTCGGTGGCGATGAAGAGTCAACGAGACGTGGTCGACATGGCAGCGTACAACGTGGAGCCGGTTAATATGAAGTTCAGAGTGTTGCCCGAGTCGAAGATGCCCAGGATGCCGAGATTGTGCTTGAAGAAGTACGCGAGGAACTGCGACGGATGCGCCAATTTCAAGAAAAGATTGGGACCTCGTGGCGCGAGCAAAGGTAATTTTTGTTTTCTTTGGTTGAGGGGAGGATGTATATGATGTATTTTCTTTTCTCTTTTTTATGAACGAATTTAATTCAGATGAAAAGGAAGTGTTGGAGAGAGTTTCGACAAAAATTTCAATCAAGATAATATATTGGAAGTTTTTCATCGTTTAGGAAAGAGAGAAAATTTTTAAAGCAAAAAAAAAAAAAAATGTGACGTTTGAAAGGATACCAATTTACAATATTTCTAATTATATTAATACTCGTGCACGGATTCTCAATCACTGGGATATAATCTTGTAAAAATTGCTATTATATAAAAAATTCAGATATTCCAGAAATAGTTGCAAAAAGAAGAGACTCTAATTTTCAACAAAAATTTCAATCAAAATAATACATTGGAAGTTTTTAATTGGCCAAAGACACTTAAAAAAAAATGTATATGAAAATATTTCAATTTACAATATTTCTAATTATATTAATACTCATGCATGGATTTCCAGAATATAATCTTGAAAAAATTTCAATTATATAAAAAATTCAGAAATAGTTGCAGAGAAGAGACTCTTGTTTTGAATAAAATTCTAATCAAAATAATACATTGGAAATTTCTAATTGGCCAAAGACACTTAAAAAAAAATGTATATGAAAATATATTTCAATTTACAATATTTCTAATTGTATTAATACTCATGCATGGATTTCCAGGATATAATCTTGAAAAAATTTCAATTATATAAAAAATTCAGAAATAGTTGCAAAGAGAAGAGATTCTTGTTTTGAATAAAAATTCTAATCAAAATAATACATTGGAAGTTTTTAATCGGCTAAAGAAACTTTTAAAGCAAAAAAAATGTGATGTTTGAGAAGATTCTAGAAATAGCTGCAAAAAAAAGAACTCTTCCTTTTAACAAAAATTCCAATCAAAATAATACATTGGAAGTATTTTAATCGGCCAAAGAAACTTTTAAAGTAAAAAAAAAAAATATAATGTTTGAGAAGATTCTAGAAATAGTTGCAAAATGAAGAGACTCTTCTGTTCACCAAAAAAAAATAATACATTGAAAGTTTTTAATCAGCCAAAGAAACTTTTAAAATAAAAAAAAAATGTGATGTTTGAAAAGATTCTAGAAATAGCTGCAAAAGAAAAGGACTCTGTTCTTCAACAAAAATTCCAATCAAAATAATACATTGGAAGCTTCTAATCAACCAAAGAAACTTTTAAAGCAAAAAAAAATGTAATGTTTGAGAAGATTCTAGAAATAGCTGCAAAAAAAAAGGATTTTTCTCTGTAACAAAAATTCCAATCAAAATAATACATTTTGAAGTATTTTAATATTTTAAGAAACTTCAAAAAAAAAAAAAAAAAAAAAAAA